AGTGATAGCATCGCTTGATAACAAGCACCTTCTCGGCTTCGTCAACAAGAGGGACTACAATGGAATTCCGGACGACGAAGAGAGTCCCAACGTCCGCAAGACCCTCGGCTACGACTCGGGTGCTGTCGACTGCGAGTCAAGCTCAGTCGGATAGTGACGGCGAGGGAGGTACCACGAAAGGTTCAAGGTCCAAGCACCCTCCGCATCCGCTCGTTCGCGCAACGCAAGCCTCAACGCCAAACTAAAAGGAAAAGCGGACGTTATCACTGCCACGGCGTCTACGCTGCATGGAAGTGCAAACCAAGGCTTTCCTCATAAAGACAATGGATGGCACGCATATCCGTCTAGTAAAAAACGAGACCTCGGCTTATGACATCTTTCAAACTATCTGTAAGAAGTACGAGGTAGCCTTTCTGCGATGGCCCGTATTTTATCCAGCATTTTCTGATGGTAACAAATTATGAGAAAGGAAGTGACGTCAACGAGTTCTTCCTCATTCAGCAAGACGCGATGTCAAAAGCGACCGAATCGGTCCTGACTGATGGACAGAAAGCGTCTTGGAAAGGCGACCTCCGCATCTGGAATGGTGATCGGAAGTACATCCCGTACGACGAGCTCAACATGAGCATCGAAGACACGATCCGTAAGATGGAGAAGCAAACACGCTGCACCATGGATAAGGGTACCCCAGAAAACTACAGTACCAAGAACGAGCGTGCACTTCTTTCTCCGGCACAGGGCATGGAGCGCGTTGTCTCCTACGAGAGGTATGCAGTTACTACCAGGAACCCCGCCATCACATCCGACAGTGTCGTGGATTGCAAAGGGAATGTAAAAGCAGGCCTGCCGGCAAACTTTGAAAGCCAGGGTATATTTGGAACTGCTTCCACCCTTATAAATGAAATGACACCGGCTCGAGCCGTGGTTGTAGGTCGTGGCAAAAAGGCGGTCGTCGAAGCAGTCGAAACAATGGTGATCTTGGCAATAATGCTCGTGGTAACAATGGCAGCAAGGAAGGACATCAGCAACCTCGCTGTTAAGAAGATGGACACGATCGGTCGCGCCGTGAAGACGCACGCATTGCGGTTGTTAATATAGTCTAACCTGTGCCACCTACCATCAGCCTTACTGCTCAAGCTACCTCCAACTTTGACTCGAACTGGCCTGTTGACTCTGGCTGAACGTGCCATGTTACCCATCACACCGATTGGTTTGTCTCGAACTCTCCTGCCTCTGGTCCAATCACAGTCGGCGAGAATCCGAGATCCCCATCGAAGGCACTGGCGATGTAGTTCTACAAGTCACTAATTCGGACATCAGCACCAGCTTACGCTGCGAGATGTGGCGTATGCACCCCAGCTTCAGAACAATCTCCTGTTGATTGCTGCTGCTGTGGAGCACAAGCTCTGTTTCACTTCCAGCGCACAGCTTGCACAGCGCAAACTGACCAACGCTTCGATATCAAGGCGAAGAAGTCAGCCAGTGCCAAGGCGTACCAG